CGATCTACCCCGTCGCTGTCGTCGCCGACTTCGGTCGCCGTCAGGGTGCGAGCCAAGACAGAGGGAGCAAGAAATCGAGCCTAGAGCCTTCGCATCGGCCGCATGAACGGCGGAGCCCTTCTCGCGCCCACACGCAAGCACACGCCCATAGTTTGGGACAGGCGGTGCTGTCCCAAACTATGGGCGTGTGCTTGCGTGTGGGCGCGAGAAGGGCTCCGCCGTTCCTGCGGCCGATGCGAGGCTCTAGGCTCGATTTCTTCTCCCTCTGTCTTGGCTCGCACCTGACGGCGACGAAGTCGGCGACGACAGCGACGGGGTAGATCGCGTTGTACGAGCGGATCACGCCGCGCAGCGCGAGCTGCAGCCCGCTCGTCACCTACGGGGGCGGCTCCGCGAAGGCTCCAAAGAGGCTCCGAGACGGCTCCGCCAGCGGCAGCAGTGCGTGGCACCTCGGCGAGCGCGTTGGACATGTAGTAGTCGCGTCCGCTCACCAGCCCGAGCGGCGTCGTCCGGATGATCTCCAGCGTCTCGCCGTTGAGCGTCCAGCGGCCGCCTGAGAGGGAGGGTCGGGGAAGGGCTCCACGGGAAAAGGGCTCTTGATCCTCTGCAGCTCGCCGGCGGAGCGTCGGGCGGCCTGTGCCCGGCCCGCCGACCGCACCGCCCCAGACGACGGAGCCGTCGGCGAGCAGCGTCACCTGCGGTGAGGGGGCCGTCCGGGTGGAGCAGCGGGCCACGAGGGGGGCAGGTGGAGGGACCCTCGAGACCTCTCTACTCTCTCTCTGTCCCCACCGCCGCCGCCGCCGCCTAGGGCAGCTTTTTGGACGGGGCGGGCGGGCGTACCTCGGCGAGAAAGTCGTCCGACGGAAGCCACCCTTCCTCGCGCGGCACCACCAACAGCTCCCACCGCGTGTTGACCAGGTCGGACGTCTCCAGCAGCTGCGTCGGCGGGCCTTCAGGCTCCGCCGGCTCGCTGGGCAGCTTCGGCAGCTCCGACGGAGAGGCCGCGGCCGGAGCCGTGTCCGGCACCGCGCCATCCACCGCGTCCGCTGCCGCCGCAGCCTGCTGCGACGCCGCGGCGGGCTCCGCTGCTGCTGCGCCGTCCGCCTCGTCGGAATACCACGCTGCTGCTGCGCCGTCCTCGCCAAGCGCCGCAGAGGCTGCGACGCGTACACGGGGCGCGCAAACCGCGGCGCGCACGCCGCAGGAGGGCAAGCACCGCGTGGCTGCCGCCAAGCTCGCGAGCAGGGCGGTGACGCAGATGCGGAGGAATGTCATTGAGCAGGCAGGCGCGCACACACACACGCGTGCGTGAGCGAGCTCGGAGCTGCTGGTTCGGTGAATAACGCACGGGCCCTCAGCGGAGCTGGGAAGAGGACCGCCGCAAGCGGCGTGGCGTGGAGCGGTTGTGCATCCCTCCGGGGGCCCCTCTGCGCCGGGGAGGCGTTGTTGGAGGCTAGGACGCAAGCGTCCGTCGCCCTTTTCAAACTCGGGGCCCACTCCGCTACGCTCCGACCCGAATTTGGAGGGCCTGAAAAGTTTAAGGTGTTGCTGCGCAAAAGGGGTCGGACACCGGGCGCAGCTCATGCTAAGAGCTAGAAGAGGAGATAGAAGAACAACCACCCTGTCCCGTTATTGCGTACACCAACACCACAAAACGCTCTCTCTCTCCTGTCCTCACTCAGGGGGGTCACAACTACCAAGTCCCTCGACTAGCTGCCACAGGGCGCAGCTGCCACAGGGCGCAGCTGGAGACGCTCCCCCTCAATCGGCATCCACCCCCACCCGCTCCAGCCCCACTTCTGCTGCCGAGAGAGCTGAATCGATGCATTGCATCTTGGCGTGCTCCTGGAGCGCGGCTTTCTGCTTGGCGGCCACGAGCACGGCGGAGTCGGCGTCGTAGCGCGCATCGTTCCCGCTCATCGCCCATTCCTCCCACGTGACGTCTGTCGGCCGCGATTCGATGTCGCCACCTTCATCGCCAACGAGGACTCCCTCGACTGCAGGGGGGCTCCGGCGCGGGGAGGGACTCCGCCTGCTGCGCTGGCGGACTGCGCCCTCCTCCTCCATGGGCTCGATCCGATTCCGCAGCGGCGGTGCTGCGCGGCGCCGCGGGCACGTCAGCGGCTTCCCCTCAAGTTGCGCGAAAGCACGGATTTGGCGGACGTTCTTCGGTGCAGATAAACGGGATGGTCTTCTCCATGAACTCATCAAACTGCCCGCCGGCGTCGACGCGGCGGACGAGCGCTTCGTAGGGGGTAGTGGGCGCCGCAGGCGACGGCGCGCTCGCTTTGAAGGCCTGGCCGAACCGCCCGAGGAAGGCCGTCGCTTCGGCGAGGGTCAGCTGACCTTTTGCT